AATTGATTCAGAAGATTGAATAGCTCATCATTAAAGTAAAGTATAGTTCTGAGACTGCAGTGGGTTCAGTGACATTGGTCGCAGTGACTTGTAGCTGTTTTAGGCTACTGTTCACTGATTTGTCACTGAGGCCTCATGAACTCATCTTCAGCTTTAAATGATGATACTAACATCAACCTCTGTTGGTATAGTCAGCTGTAATCTCCTTAGTATAATGCTACTGGAGAAATATAATCAGCTGACAAATTTAGATTTCTATTGGTATTGTTTATCTGCAGGCATAGGTCTCCTCAGGCTTGATACTGGGCCTGAGAGTAATTTACCTCCTGCAGAGTTTAACATGGTTATACCCTGATATTTAGTAGGGTTACCGATGAATCGATGACAATAGTCTGTCCCTACAAGGAGACCGAAGTCAGTGAGGTGATCAGACTTAATATTATCTGCCAATTTTATTCCTCTATTTCTCAGGAATTTGGCTGTTGCTCTCAGACCTTGAACTTGTAGGTCTACTGGTATTTTGTCCACCACAATGGCTTGTACTCGACAGATGTACCTGCCTAAACGTACTGATGGTTGTACCACCTGGTAGACTTGAGGTCCTGCATCTGTTACAAACCCTGAGATGTTGAATGACATCTGGGCTACAGGCCTTAATTGTAGTTCATCTGCCAACTTTTTAGTGATATATGTTCTCTGGGATCCTTGGTCAAACAACCCACGGGTATGGACCTTGGCCCTCTTATTCAGGATGGTAATTTGGGCAGTAGGCAAAGTCGTATTACCTTTAGACTTTGCCGATTGGACACTCTTTGTTGGTTGCACCTTGCAGTACTGTACTGTGGTGGGAATGCTATCTTCCACCTTGGGGTTTGGAGACGTTGTTTTGGTGTCTCTGCACAATGCTGCATGGTGTTGACCTTTGTTACACCTATTACAGGTGTGTAATTGGGTATCACAGTCCTTGATGTTATGTTTCCTGAGGCACCTCGTGCAATGTTGCAAATCTTTGAGTCGCTCAACACGGGCGTCACTATCAGGAAAATTAGGGCAGTGGTACATTGAATGTTTCTCATTGCAGAACAAACATGTTCCATAGCTTCCAGTACCCTTTGGTGTCACGTTCTTGGGTGACACAGTAACTATAGGTTTGGAGGGTCCCACTGCATATACGCCCACACTGCTACTGTTCCACTTTGGTGTTGAATTATATTGTCTAGATTGATTTGGAGTACCTTTGGTACTCTGTGGTTTACTATTATTAGTTTCTGAGGGTTTACTTGGTGGTTTTAATTTGTCATGTGTTCGTAATTGATGAACTACTGACTTTAAACCTTCAGATATTTCATTCAAAGATAAGATGCTTTTATTGTAATGAGCACTCATTTGTCTCAATATGTCCCAAGGTATTTTCTCCTGGACAATTATTTTCAAGACCCACTCAGCCCCGTTTGTATCTGCTGTCAGGCTGAGGGCATTGATCAATGATTCTACCTCCAGCTTGAAGACTTGGAGTGAATCAGCTGAAGCCTCCGGTGGGGGTAAATGCAACAGCTCATAAACTAAATGTGATGTTCTTACTTCTGGATCAGCATAATTATCCTTGAGGAGTTTTACTGCCAGATCATAGCCGTCATTAGTTAATCTCAGATGGGATACTACTGTTTTAGCCTCACCTGATAATTGACCTTGCAAATAAGAGAATTTACTACTCTTTGGTAAAGATTGTTTTGAGTCTACAAGGTCAACGAATTTGTTCCAAAATTCATCCCAATCTTCCTCATCTTTTCCTGAGAAAGTGGGTAAATTAATTGGAGGGAGTCGAGCTTCTGCTTGACTCGTATTAGATGCAACTGTTGTTGTTGTTGCTGTTGCTGTTGCCTTGTTTTGGGCAATTAATTTGACATAAGGCTGTAACGTGGCCTGAGTGTGATCTTCATAATTCGCAAGATCAACCATAATGTCGTCTATTTCTGTTTCTGATAAATTGGTGTTGGCAAGTTCAGCCACATATGTTGCTATTTGACATTTGATTTGCTCAAATTTACCTGCAGCTGCTTGATAATAGCTTTCCAGGTCAGCATAATCAACTTGAGATTGTTGTGACAAATCTTCACATTTCTTGATCTGTCTTGTTAAGTGGCCTTTAAGACCTGCAAGGGTTCTTTTCATTCTCCCTGCATTATCCATACTGGCTCGTTGGTGAAGCCTTGTGGGACTTGTACTTGGGCTGCTCATAATACTGAACAAACACTAATGGTAGCCTAGGGTAAATTCTGAACTCACTAGGCAATAATCCTACCTCTACTAGAGGTTAGCACTTAAAATTAATACACATTATATATATACAATCATACACACTAATGATTTGAGTGATAAACCAGTGTCACTGGAAGTACCTTTAGGTTAGCTCTTCTATATCACCCTAGGATGGTAGAGACACTAATTAATCACTCAAAGGTGTAATGATCATAAGTAAATTATTATATATACAACTCAATTCGAGTTGATAAAAATTACACCCAAAATAGGGTCTGGACCATGCATTAATGGTGTTAGGTTGATCAATATAGTACAACTGACTATGGTAATAATGGGACTAGGATGAACGATAATAGTTCAACTAGTCAATGGTTAATATCCTACCCTGTTGTGGGTTGGCAATTAGTAAATATTATACTGTGATCACTAGTGCAATATATATTAAATAATTCTCTATTTTGGAGAAATAATATACACAATTATTGATAATAGCCTTTTAATTAGCCTCTATGAAACTTCTAATATTATCTAGAAGTATTAAATATTATTAGTGACCTCGCGAAATAAACTCCACAAAATTCGTAGATAATCTCTCGCGAAATTTAACACCACAAAATCCGTGAACAATCTTGCGAGGACACAGCCACTAATTTGGCTGGCTTCAATATTAGCGCTGTCATTTCACGAAATAACACGCCACCAAATATCTGTGGGTGTGCATGAAACCTCTGACGAAGCTGAACTCAGTTGAGGGAGGCTCCTGAGCTCCCACGAGGCTTCGCCGCTGTCTTTGACTGGGTGGCCTTTGTTTAAATCACACTGCACTAGTATATTTAATGAATCCACTGGTTAACTGGTTCATCCGGTACTAAGATGACCAAATGTGGGTTCAAAGGACCGAATATTCCGTCATCCGGTTCGAAGATGACCAAATAATGTGGGAACCGACCTGTGAGATTTATATTTATTTAATTTATATGAATTTATATTTACGTTAATTTATATACTTCGATAGCAATTTGTATAATGATAAGTGGACTGTATTTCTGCAATAATCTCATAATCTCACAAATCGATCCTCTACACATTAGGGGGGTTTATTAGTTTATATATATGCAGCCAATCAAACTACAGAATTAGACTACATACATTGAAAAGGTTCCTTATCTTATAGTACAGCAGGTTAGTCCACCAGGTATAACTAGGGTGTAGACACCAAATTATCCTCTTTGAGGTAGCTTCCATCACCCAGTAACTGGTGCACAAAATCTTTCTTCCTCGTCTTGACCTGTTAAAAGGGCGCTAGCTGTAAAGCCAGGTACCTATATATGACAAGCTATATCAGAGAAAATACTATACATGGAACAATAAAGACCTGGCTTAATTACCTTTAGTTTGAGGCTATGTCGTGCTCTAACTGGATCACCCTATATAATGACATTAATGGCCATAAATGAAAGATACATGGGTTTCGGAAAGAACACTTAACTTGAATTTGTTGACAGCGTGTGATAAATGTTACACCTTTGGTTTCCATAACACTACGTCCAAGTAAAATTAACAGGAGCCGTATTTGCTCCCGTGTGCCTCTGGTCTAGTATCAACAACAATGGCCGCCCTCCTTCTCCACTGACGCCTGGCTTACATTGTCCAAATTTCAGAAAGTGATAGAAGGGTCACATTTACTCTACTTTAATATTGATAATTAAGTTAATTTATATGAGATGTTTTTATGATGGTAAAGTCCAAAGACTAATGTATTTAAGAATAATTCCCACCATAATAGGTGGAGAATATAATAGTATGTGGTGATGATATCCCGTTTTCTATAGACGGTAATTCCACTACAAGTTACGTTTTCTATGGTTAACTTGTTTATACAACACAGCTATTATCTGTATGATATATTAAATGCTGTCGGATTTTCCGACAATGCCGGAGTGATGTTGCAGGTCAGTCATTGCCCATGCTTGTGCAGCTGTGGTTCCTTTTGCTCCTTCTGCATCGAGGGGGGGGGCACCCCCTCCTGAGTGTGGACACACTCTGGGGAGCACTATAGTTCTAGGCTCTCGCCCTCAAAACTTTGATTCTGATCACTCTTTCTTCAGAAAAGTTAGTTACTGAGGTTTATGCTCTATTTCAGGGACCTAGTTTTATCAATTTGGTTCAGGATCCCCTTCATAACACTGTACTGGCACAGCAGTGTACTGCCACAACACTGTACTGGCACAGCACTGTACTGGCACAGCACAGTATATATTATTATATATACTGTGTATATTACTATGTTAATATACATGCGGGTGATGCCCCTTCCCCACCTTGAGTCCTATATCTTCCTGTGCACTGAATTGTTCTTTGCATCAATGGGTAAGAGAGGAGGCTCAGAGCAAGGGACCAGTTGTTTACACAGTTGCTGCCATCTGGTGACAGTTGAAACAGGAGGGCAACCAGATGGTGCAATTGGTCCCTGTTTAGTTGGGCACAGAAATCTTAGAGTTATTGACTGAACTTTCTAGATGTCACTAAAGATTGATATGAACTATATCCAGTGTCACCAAAACACCAGTATAATGAGCCAAGAAGTATGTTTAATAATATCTCTGTTATGCTGCTGCTGCTGCAGAATGTGAGCCTACCCTAATTCTTATGGAATGGAACATGTCTCAGGAAACATTGAAACAATCCGGCTCAGAAAGAAGGTCTCCATGTTCACTTAAATCTCAATATTTTTACAGATTGTGCACTCCTTTGGATGGAACTAACGAACTAGATGTTGCAAATTTATTCTCTTTATTGACTGAGAACGTGGAAGGTGTGGTGCAGTACAACAAGGACAACCGAGCATTTGAAGGTGCCAAGGACACTAACATTACCATCGACACAGTGTGTGGCATGATGACTGACCAAGCCATAGGTGATCCAATTGCAAGGTATGGAAGAAATAATGATAAGTTTGTACTTCTATGTATGTACTTTACTATGTATGTGTAGGTATATATGTACTACAGGTTTATCAGTTTCTCTCTGTCAGTCTGTCTGTCTGTCTGTGTCTGTATGTACTCACCTAGTTTTACTTGCGGGGGTTGAGTTCTGGCTCTTTTGTCCAGCCTCTCAACTATCAATCAACTGGTGTACAGATTCCTGAGCCTGCTATGTTCCATCATATATATATTTTTTTTATATTTATTTATTTATATACACAAGAGTTCTTACATTCTTGAACAGCATGCGTAGAGTATTAGGCAACTCCTTAATCCTATGTTCCCTGCAATACGACCCCGCAAAAAATAGTTTAACAACCAAGTACCCATTTTACTGTTGAGTTAAACAGAGTTTACAGTTAAGGATTTGCTCACAATAAATACTACCTGGCCAGGATACGAACCCAGGACAAAGCGCTCGCGAAACGCCTGGCGAGCGTCTTAACCACTACATCACGAGGACTGTAATGTCTACATTTGAAATTGTGTATGGAGTCAGCCTCCACCACATCACTGCCTAATACATTTCATCTGTTAACTACTCTGACACTGAAAAAGTTCTTTCTAACGTCCCTGTTGGGTCCTCAGTTTCCACCTGTGTCCACTTGTTCGCGTATCACCCGTGTTAAACAGTTTATCTTTATCTACCCTGTCAATTTCTCTGAGAATTTTGTAGGTAGTGATTATGTCTTACCTTACACTTCGTCTTCCATTGTCGTGAGTTGCATTTCCCACAGCCTGTCCTCGTAACTCATGCCTCTTAGTTCTGTGACTAACCTAGAGGCATACGTCTCAACATTTTCAAGCTTCATCTTGTGCTTGACAAGGTACGGGCTCCATGCTGGGGCCACATACTCCAGGATTGGTCTTATATATATGGTATACAAGGTTCTGAATGATTCCTTACACAGGTTCCTGAAGGCAGTTCTGATGTTAGCCAGCCTCGCATAAGCTGCCGATGTTGTTCTTTTGATGTGCGCTTCAGGAGACAGGTTTGGTGTTTTAACTCAACTCCTAGATATTTCACTTTGTCCATTTCATGAAGGATTTCATCTCACATTCTGTATCCTGTGTCTGGCCTCCTGTTTCAACTGCCCAGTTTCATTACCTTACATTTACTAGGGATGAACTTTAGTAGCCATTTATTGGACCATTCATTCAGTCTGTCTAGGTTATCTTGTAGCCTCATACTATCTTCCTCTGTCTTAATCCTCCTCATAATTTTTGCATCATCAGCAAACAATGAGAGGAATGATTCTATACCCACTGGTAGATCATTTACATATATCAGAAACAGTATAGGTCCAAGGACTGAGTCCTTCTAGACTCGACTGGTCACACCTCGCCAATCTGAGACCTCACCCCCTCACAGTGATTCACTGTCTTCTGTTACTTAGGTACTCACTTATCCAATGGAGTTCCTTCCCTTTCACTCCTGCCTGCATCTCCATATTTCGCACTAGTCTCTGGTGTGGCACTGTGTCAAAGGCTTTCTGACAATCCAAAAATATGCAGTCTGCCCACCCCACTCTTTCTTGCCTGATTCTTGTTGCCTGATCGTAGAATTCAGTTAATCCTGTGAGGCCGGACTTGCCATTCCTGAAACCATGTTGGTGTTGTGCCACAAAGTTCCTCCGCTCCAGATGGTCTGTCTGTCTGTCTGTCTGTCTGTCTGTCTGTCTGTCTGTCTGTCTGTTTGTCTGTCTGTCTGTCTGTCTGTCTGTCTGTCTGTCTGTCTGTCTGTCTGTCTGTCTGTCTGTCTGTCTGTCTGTCTGTCTGTCTGTCTGTCTGTCTGTCTGTCTGTCTGTCTGTCTTTCTGTCTGTCTGTCTGCCTGCCTGTCTGTCTGTCTGTCTGCCTATCTGCCTGTACACACGTACGTTTTTCTTTCTCTCCAAAACTGGAAGGCAGGCACTTGGGGAATTCCTCACCCTAATTTGCAAGACGGAAATGGTCTGGGATACAGGACGGACAAGTACTCTTCGGGGGTGGTCTAAGTAAAATACTTTAAGAAATATTATCAATTATAGACACCCCCCAGGTGGTTTAAGTAAAATACTCTAAGAAATATTATCAATTATAGACACCTTCTACCAGGCGATTTTGAAAGTCAATTGTGAAATATACTGTTATTCCTCTAGAGTTTTATTTATAATTATATGCTTTCCGAGAAACCCATATATATGTTTTCAGTGTTTCGTAATAATACATTTTCTTAACGAAGGGAGAGAGAATGTAACAGGAGTGGGGAGAGGGGGGATGAAAGAGGTGGGGACTGGGGGATGAAGGGGGTAGGGAATGAAGGAGTTCAAGGGGAGGATTGGGGGAAGAGTCAGGAAGAGGAGAGACCTGGGTGCAGCTGGGTACTCATTCCATAGAATGAAATGTCTGTTCATGGTTGGCGGGAAGATGGGGAGAGTAGGAAAATAGGGGAGATGGGGAGGGTAGGGAGATAGGGGAGATGAGGAGGGTAGGGAGATAGGGGTGATGGGGAGTGTAGGGAGATAAGGGTGATGGGGAGGGTAAGGGAGATGGGGAGTGGAAGGGGATAGGGGTGATGGGGAGGGTAGAGGGATAGGGGAGATGGGGATAAAGAGAAGGGAAGAGAAGTAGGGAGAAGGGGAGAAGGGTGAAACTGAGAGAGATGAGAGGAAAGGGGGTGAGAGGGGCAGGAAAGTGGAATGGGGAGGGGAGAGTTGAGGGGATTGGAGGGAGAGGGATAAAGAAATGGGCAGTAATGGGGGAGATGGGGAGAGAAAGATTATCCCGGGCACTGCTGGGTACCCGTCCAAGTATACTATGAGGCAGACTATCCCGGACACTGCTGGGTACCCGTCCTAGTATACTATGAGGCAGACTATCCCGGGCACTGCTGGGTACCCGTCCTAGTATACTACGAGGCAGATTATCCCGGGCACTGCTGGGTATCCGTCCTAGTATACTATGAGGCAGACTATCCCGGGCACTACTGGGTACCCGTCCCAGTATACTATGAGGCAGACTATCCCGGGCACTGCTGGGTACCCGTCCTAGTATACTATGAGGCAGACTATCCCGGGCACTGCTGGGTACCCGTCCTAGTATACTATGAGGCAGACTATCCCGGGCACTGCTGGGTATCCGTCCTAGTATACTATGAGGCAGACTATCCCGGGCACTGCTGGGTACCCGTCCTAGTATACTATGAGGCAGACTATCCCGGGCACTGCTGGGTACCCGTCCTAGTATACTATGAGGCAGACTATCCCGGGCACTGCTGGGTACCCGTCCTAGTATACTATGAGGCAGATTATCCCGGGCACTGCTGGGTATCCGTCCTAGTATACTATGAGGCATACTATCCCGGGCACTGCTGGGTACCCGTCCCAGTATACTATGAGGCAGACTATCCCGGGCACTGCTGGGTACCCGTCCTAGTATACTATGAGGCAGACTATCCCGGGCACTGCTGGGTACCCGTCCTAGTATACTATGAGGCAGACTATCCCGGGCACTGCTGGGTATCCGTCCTAGTATACTATGAGGCAGACTATCCCGGGCACTGCTGGGTATCCGTCCTAGTATACTATGAGGCAGACTATCCCGGGCACTGCTGGGTACCCGTCCTAGTATACTATGAGGCATAATGTTTAACTAATTGTTTACATCGTTTGTTTGATGTTGTTTGATTGCTGTTTATATAGTGTGGTTTATTATATTATATACCTAATGTTTCTTGTTTGTGTGGTGTTGTTTGTTTGTAACAACATGTTACATCTAGTCTGTTTGTCAGTCTGTCCAAAGTATGAGGCCAGACATTAGGGAATATCCTCACCATTTCAGTAGACTTACTGGCCTAGGGTGTGGGATGAACACAGGCTGGTCAGGGTCGGCAGAGTGACTGGCCTAGGGTGTGGGATGAACACAGGCTGGTCAGGGTCGGCAGAGTGACTGGCCTAGGGTGTGGGATGAACACAGGCTGGTCAGGGTCGGCAGAGTGACTGGCCTAGGGTGTGGGATGAACATAGGCTGGTCAGGGTCGGCAGAGTGACTGGCCTAGGGTGTGGGATGAACATAGGCTGGTCAGGGTCGGCAGAGTGACTGGCCTAGGGTGTGGGATGAACATAGGCTGGTCAGGGTCGGCAGAGTGACTGGCCTAGGGTGTGGGATGAACATAGGCTGGTCAGGGTCGGCAGAGTGACTGGCCTAGGGTGTGGGATGAACATAGGCTGGTCGGGGTCGGCAGAGTGACTGGCCTAGGGTGTGGGATGAACATAGGCTGGTCGGGGTCGGCAGAGTGACTGCCCTAGGGTATGGGATGAACATAGGTTGGTCGGGGTCGGCCAGGTGACTGGCCTAGGGTATGGGATGAACATAGGTTGGTCGGGGTCGGCCGAGTGACTGGCCTAGGGTGTGGGATGAACATAGGCTGGTCAGGGTCGGCAGAGTGACTGGCCTAGGGTGTGGGATGAACATAGGCTGGTCGGGGTCGGCAGAGTGACTGGCCTAGGGTGTGGGATGAACATAGGCTGGTCGGGGTCGGCAGAGTGACTGGCCTAGGGTGTGGGATGAACATAGGCTGGTCGGGGTCGGCCGAGTGACTGCCCTTGGGTATGGGATGAACATAGGTTGGTCGGGGTCGGCCAGGTGACTGGCCTAGGGTATGGGATGAACATAGGTTGGTCGGGGTCGGCCGAGTGACTGGCCTAGGGTATGGGATGAACACAGGCTTGTCGGGGTCGGCAGAGTGACTGGCCTAGGGTGTGGGATGAACATAGGCTGGTCGGGTTCGGCAGAGTGACTGCCCTAGGGTATGGGATGAACATAGGTTGGTCGGGGTCGGCCAGGTGACTGGCCTAGGGTATGGGATGAACACAGGCTTGTCGGGGTCGGCAGAGAGACTGGCCTAGGGTATGGGATGAACACAGGTTGGTCGGGGTCGGCAGAGAGACTGGCCTAGGGTATGGGATGAACACAGGCTGGTCGGGGTCGGCAGAGAGACTGGCCTAGGGTATGGGATGAACACAGGCTGGTCGGGGTCGGCAGAGAGACTGGCCTAGGGTATGGGATGAACACAGGCTGGTCGGGGTCGGCAGAGAGACTGGCCTAGGGTATGGGATGAACACAGGCTGGTCGGGGTCGGCAGAGAGACTGGCCTAGGGTATGGGATGAACACAGGCTGGTTGGGGTCGGCCGAGTGACTGGCCTTGGGTACAGGATGAACACAGGCTGGTCGAGGTCGACAGAGCATGCCAGGCTCATGTTCACACTCCCACCACGAGTTTTCACACTTCCCGTCACTACACCTACCAAAATATTTTAAAACAAAAAATCCAAAATACATTTTTTAATTTTAATCATATACATATATATACACCATTATTCATTAATCTAGGAACATTAGAGGAAATTTCTTGCTATTTAAACAAAATTCAACCCAATAAAACACATAAATTACATTCTGAACTTCCCCTCCCATGGAAAATGAAAGGGGAGGAAGGGGGGGAGGAGGGAGGGGGTGTGAAGGGGATGGGGAAAGAGGCGGCGGGAGGGAGGAAGAGGGAGGGGGTGACGATGGTGTTGGAGGAGGGTGAGGGAAAGGGGATGAAAGACACACATATTTTCTGAGATAATGGGGAGGTCCGATGGGGATAGGGAATAGGAAGGAAAGGAGAGGAAGATGGGAGAAACAAGAGAGGAAGCGTGAAACAGGAGAAGAGGGGGTACACAAGGGATGCGATATGGAGACGAGCGGGTGAAGGCGGAGATGGAAGAAGGGGGATGGGAGAGGAGACAATGTCTTGAACACCGCCCTCGTCGCCCTTATTATTATTCTTTATGAATTGGAAGAGGTGTTACGAGGAAGGGTGAGAGGGAGAGCATCGGGGCATCACGGGTACCCCTCCTGGTATATATATATATATATATATATATATATATATATATATATATATATATATATATATATATATATATATATACATATATTGATATATAGATAGAGCTAGTATACAATGCCTATATATATATATATATATATATATATATATATATATATATATATATATATATATATATATATATATATATATATATATATATATATATATATATATATATATATATATATATATATTGGTAGCAGTCTTTCCTGTAGACATATATTATTAAATATGACAGAAAAAGTAAGATTAATAATTCTAACTCGAATTTTCTCAATGTTTCTTATATTTCTTTTCACTGTTCATGGTCTCTGAAAAATCAATTCTCCAAAATTCATATTTATTTCTAGTCTGACGCGACACTTGAACGCGTTTCATAAAACTTATTACATTTTCAAAGACTTTAGTTTACACACACATAACTATAACTGAGCAGAGTTTAAACAGCTTCAATTTTATACCTGCATTTGGGTGAGGTGATATGTTACAACAGTTTTGGATGAGGTGAAAACAAACTTTCAACACAAGACAGAACACGAAACAATGGGTATAATATTTTGTAAGTTAAAGGGAAGAATGGAAGTAACTGCAAAGGGCCTATTGGCCCATATTTCTTGATCCTTCTATATTGGTGCGGAGTCTTGAAGTGGATAGAATATAGTTGTACATTAATTGGCTGTTGATTGCTGGTGTCGACTTCTTAATGTGTAGTGCTTCAAAGATATCTAGCCGCCTGCTATCGCTGTATCTATCGATGAAGGGTGAGAGGGAGAGCATCGGGGCATCACGGATGATAGCGGACAGAGTGTATCGTGATCCGGCCTGTACTCCTCTTGACATACCAGAAAACAGTCTAAGGAAATTACTCCAAGCTTGTACTAAAGAGGCACCCTTCTTGAGCCCGGATGGGCACATGTATAAGCAAGTAGATGGGATCGCCATGGGTTCTCCCCTAGGAGTCCTGTTTGCGAACTTCTACATGGGTACCATCAAACAAAAGGTCTTAGTCGACATGAACTTGGAACCGGCCATATACTGCAGGTATGTTGACGATATTTTTACACTGGTACCTGATGTCACACATCTGCAGGAGCTGAAGGAGGCATTTGAGCGGAATTCTGTGTTGCGTTTCACTTACGAGATGGAGAAGGATGGGAAGCTGCCCTTTCTAGATATAACAGTCATGGAAAGGAGCGGAGGTTTCCACACTGCAGTCTACACTAAGGAAACAAACATAGGAATGTGCCTCATTGCCAACAGTGACTGCCCAGACAGGTACAAGAGGAGTGTTGTTAACGCTTATGTCGACCGTGCTCTCAGCCACAGCTCAGGATGGAAGCAAGTCGATGAAGAACTTTGTAGGGTAAGGCAGGTCCTAGTCAACAACGGCTTCTCCAATGGTTTCGTCGAAGACATCATAAGAAGGAAGGTGAAATGCCATGCAACCTCTGAAGAGACAACTAACACAACACCTGTACCCCTATTAGACTATTTTACAGGAACTTCTTTTCCACAGCTCATAAAACGGAGGAAAGGGTCCTGAAAGATATTGTTAATAGAAACGTTATCCCTATAGACAGAAATCAGAAGATACAATTGACGATTTACTATAAAACCAAGAAAACGGCCAATCTACTCATGAGAAACTCCAGACACAGAGCAGAACGCTTTAAAAGAGACCAATGTCGTCTATGCCTTCAAATGCCCACTTGGGGACTGTAAGCCTCAAAGAATTCAGTATATAGGCAAGACAACAACATCTCTTTCCAAGCGATTAACGATGCATAAGCAACAGGGCTCCATTAAGAAACATAATCTCTTCCCACAACCAGACCATCACCAGAGAAGTCTTAACAAAAAACACGGAAATCATCGATAGATACACAGATAGCAGGCGGCTAGATATCTGCGAGGCACTACACATTAAGAAGTCGACACCAGCAATCAACAGCCAATTAATGCACAACCCTATTCTACCCACTTCAAGCCTCCTCACCAATATAGAAGCATCAAGAAATATGGGCCAATAGGCCCTTTGCAGTTACTTCCATTCTTCCTTTTAACTTGGAAAATATTATACCCATTGTTTCGTGTTCTGTCTTGCGTTGAAAGTTTGTTTTCACCTCATCCAAAACTGTTGTAACATATCACCTCACCCAAATGCAGGTATAAAATCGAAGCTGTTTAAACTCTGTTCAGTTATAGTTGTGTGTGTGTGTAAACTAAAGTCTTTGAAAATGTAATAAGTTTTACGAAACGCGTTCAAGTGTCGCATCAGACTAGAAATAAAAATGAATTTTGGAGAATTGATTTTTCAGTTACCATCAACAGTGAAAAGAAATAAAAGAAACATTGAGAAAATTCCTGTTAGAATTATTAATCTTACTTTTTCGGTTATATTTAATAATATATATATATATATATATATATATATATATATATATATATATATATATATATATATATATATATATATATATATATATATATGCAAACAAGCCGTGAATGGTCCCCAGGACTATATACAACTGAAAACTCACACCCCAGAAGTGACTCGAACCCATACTGCCAGGAGCAACGCAACTGGTATGTACAGGGACGCTTTAATCCGCTTGCCCATCACGACCGGACATAAGGAAGTGATAGCCGAAGCTATTTGAACCACTTCCCCGCCGGCACTCAGATGGTAATCTTGGGCATAGCATTTTATCAAATCACCTCATTCTTTGGGGCACACGTGAGGAACACAAATGCAAACAAGCCTGAATGGTCCCCAGGACTATATACAACTGAAAACTCACACCCCAGAAGTGACTCGAACCCATACTGCCAGGAGCAACGCAACTGGTATGTACAGGGACGCCTTAATCCGCTTGACCATCACGACCGGACATAAGGAAGTGATAGCCAAAGCTATTTGAACCAATTCCCCGCCGGCACTCGGATGGTAATCTTGGGCATAGCATTTTATCAAATCACCTCATTCTTTGGGGCACACGTGAGGAACACAAATGCAAACAAGCCTGAATGGTCCCCAGGACTATATACAACTGAAAACTCACACCCCAGAAGTGACTCGAACCCATACTGCCAGGAGCAACGCAACTGGTATGTACAGGGACGCCTTAATCCGCTTGACCATCACGACCGGACATAAGGAAGTGAGAGCCGAAGCTATTTGAACCACTTCCCCGCCGGCACTCGGATGGTAATCTTGGGCATAGCATTTTATCAAATCACCTCATTCTTTGGGGCACACGTGAGGAACACAAATGCGAACAAGCCTGAATGGTCCGCAGGACTATATGCAACTGAAAACTCACACCTTAGAAATGACTCGAACCAATACTGCCCGGAGCACTCTGCTGGCGTACAGGATCCCTTAACCGCTCAACCAACATGACTGGACAAAAGAGGATGGTAGCCAAAGCTATTTCCATCCCCCCGCCGGCACTCGGTTGGTAAACTTGGGCATGGTATTTTATCAAATCACCTCATTCTTTGGGGCACATGTGAGGAACACAAATGCAAACAAGCCTGAATGGTCCCCAGGACAATATGCAACTGAAAACTCAAACCCAAGAAGTGACTCGAACCCATACTGCCAGGAGCACTCTACTGGCGTACAGGATCTCTTAACCGCTCGACCAACACGACCGGACATCTTCTTTTGTCCGGTATTGAGTTAGTGATGTATGACCTTTTCTCAGAACATTCACACCACAAAGGATATACTGTTCAGTGATAGTTACCTAAAGAGAAAGTGATATAGTATTACATAAAAAGTGACTTAATGAATGCAGATTAAAAATTATACTATTTAAAAGAAATTGATTAAAAACGATTTTGAAAAATAAAATTATATTTTGTTTTACGTTCAGATATGCAGCAGTAAACGCGATGATGTTGGATGTTTATGAGGAGGAATGTTTGGACCACACATATGACTCCATGATTAATGAGTTGCGAGCTACCAGTTGGGAGAATAACACAAGTGGAGGTAAGTCGATATTTGTAAATATTTTTAATCAGTGCCAATTTTTGCACCAGCACAGCACAAGCTATTTCAAAGATTTAAAAAAATATTTGGCAATACACACTTCTCTGTTTAGTATATTCTAACACACTATTGAAAACACTTTCACTGCATCCATCCGGGTAACTCAAGCTCTCTGTGTTTCTAATGTTTCACCCAATTAATGTATTCTTTATTCTGTTTCCATCCTGAAGGTATAATATGACTAAAATAGATGGTTAAGGGTTATGAAACTGGATATTCATGCCTGTGCCACCTCTTGGGGGGTTTAATCTCTTCATCAATCAACTATGAAACTCCACTTTCTAGGCGCTTTCCCTCGGTTCTTAAGGCTTTGGTACTCCAGGACCTCTGAGTCTTACGTAGTCTACCACAAGCCGGTATCTGGTTTGCTTCAAGTGGGAAGAAAAACTTTAGGGTCATAGCTCTACCAAGAAAATTGGCCCAGAAAATCATAAAAAAAAATAATTGCTCTTGGAAAAAAACAGAAACCAAAGGATTCCAGGCATGAAAACAGCACGTGCCAGGGTACACAGTCAGGTGCCCAAGACAAGCAGCGATGGGCGCTAACCTTGGTACCCAGCCCGTGACAAAGGCCAATAAGCCAGTCCCACAGCAAGCATCATGCACCAGGAACAGGAAGGCAAGAGATGGAGCCAGCAATCCAAATAACTTTAATATAAGGACTGACAGGCAGGGAAAAGCCGGCTTGAGCACCCCATATCCATTCTGTGGACAGTAGTGGATCCTATACCCATCCTGTGGGCAATACTGCACCTCATACCCATCCTGTGGGCAGTAGTGGACCTCCCCTACCCATCCTGTGAGAAATATTGCACAACACACCCATCCTGTGGGCAGTAGTGGACTGTGGGTGATAGTGCACGCCATGTGGGCGGTAGTGCACTACATACCCATGATGTGGACAGCAGGGGACCCCACACCCATGCTTTAGACAGTAGTACACCCCATACCCATTCTTTGGGCAGAAGAAGACCCCATACCCATCGTGTGGGAAGCAGTGTACCTAATGCCCATCCTATGGGAAGTAGTGCACCTCATACCCTTCCTGTGGGACGTAGTACACCACATACCCATCCTGTGGGAAGTAGTGGACCCCATGCCCATGCTGTGGGAAATAGTGTACCTCATATCCTTCCTTCCTGTGGGACGTAGTAGACGCCATACCCATCCTGTGGGAAGTAGTAGACCTCCATACCCATCCTGTGGGAAGTAGTGCACCCCATACCCATCCTGTGGGCTGTAATGAACCCCATACCCATCACGTGGGACGTAGTGGACCCATACCCCCTCCTGTGGGCAGTAGTGGACCCCCATACCTATCCTGTGGGCAGTAGTACACCCCATACCCATGCTGTGGGCAGTAGTACACCCCATACCCATCCTGTGGGCAGTAGTGGACCCCATGCCCATGCTGTGTGGAGTAGTGCACCCCATACCCATCCTATGGAAAGTAGTGCACCCCATACCCATCCTGTGGGAAGTAGTGCACCCCATACCCATCCTGCGGGCTGTAGTGTACCTCATACTCATCCTGAGGGCAGTAGTACACCCCATTCCCATGCTGTGGGCAGTAGTGCACCCTATACCTATCCTGTGAGAAGTAGTGAATCCAATACTTATCCTGTGGGCAGAATTGCACCCCATACCTATCCTCTGAGAGGTAGAGAACCCAATGCCCATAAGTAGTGAACCCCATACCCATGCTGTGAGAAGTAATGCACCCCATCCTCATCCTCATACTGTAGGAAGTGGTTCACCTCCATACCCATCCTGTGGGAAGTAGTGCACCCTATACTCATCCCGTGAGAAGTAGTGGACCCCAAACCCATGCTGTAGGCAGTACGTACTGCACTCCATACCCATCCTGTGGGCAGTAGTGCACCCCATACCCATCCGATAGGAAGTAGTGCACCCCATGCCCATCCTGTGGGCAGTAGTGCACCTCATACCAATCCTGTGGGCTGTAGTGGGCCACATACCCATCCTGTGGGAAGTAGTGGACCCTACACCCCTGCTGTGGGAAGTAGTGCACCTCATACCTATCATGTGGGAAGTAGTGCACCCCCATACCCATCCTGTTTGCAGTAGTGTACCCCATATCCATCCTGTGAGAAATAGTGCACCCCATACCCATCCTGTGGGCAGTAGTGGACTCCATACCCATCCAGTGGGCAGTAGTGCACCCCATACCCATCCTGTGGGCAGCAGTGCACCCCATACCCATCCCGAGGGCAGTAGTGCACCCTATACCCATCAAGTAGGCACCCCATACCCATCCCGAGGGCAGTAGTGCACCCTATACCCATCAAGTGGGCAGTAGTGCACCCCATACCCATCCTGTGGGCAGTAATGCTTCCAATACCCATCCTGTGGACAGTAGTGCACCCCATACCCTCCATGTGGGAAGTAGTGGAAAAGGCTACAGAGGCACATAATGGGCACAGTCACTGTTCTCAAAAATACATTTGGCTTAGCAAGTTACAGCGATGTGGAGGGTTACAGTCACCCACATTTGCTACCTATAGGTTGCAAGCTGGGAACATTTGGCTAAAATTTCTGGTAGTAAATCGCTTTGAATGAAATAGTTCAGTACTGCAGTTGGGTTCGATCTTGACTCACAATCGGGAATTCAGGGATCGAATTCAGGCGGGACATACAGCCTGTCCTCCAAAGACTCAAAAGTAATTCCATTTACCCATCTACCCAAGTGTTTATGAATGAAAAACAGTTTACACGCGACTCACAACTGATTTCGTTCGAACAGGAACGTTCGAAGTGAAGCACTTACGGAACAAGTGATTCACTGACGAATTTTGTTTGAACCCCAACGCTGTTAATGCCTCGCCTACGTACTACATATAGAACCTAACAGAACCTAAACACCTAAACTAACTTAACCTATAGTCGTATATGCACAATATGGTAATATATTATAATGTTAATTTATATTTGAGAAAATTCCCGTTTTGAATGAACAGCATGTAAAAAAAAATTAATGAGTCTTTGGGGTTGACCAGTGGATGTAATGAGCTTGAGTTGAAGACGGGTTGGAAATGGTTAGGCACGTTTTTATCACCTAATGTCTCTGTTCACCTACTAGTAAATAGATACCAAGGAGTCAGTCAGCTTGTTGTGGGAGTGCATTCTGAGGCGTAGGCTCTCGATATAAGCCTAACGGTTACTGACCCACACTCTGGCCATGATGAGTCATGGTTACTGCCCGACACTCTGGCCATGATGAGTCATGGTTACTGACCGACACTCTGGCCATGATGAGTCATGGTTACTGACGACACTCTGACACTCTGACCATGATGAGTCATGGTTACTGACCGACACTGACAACACTGGCCATGATGAGTCATGGTTACTGACCACTCTGGCCATGATGAGTCATGGTTACTGACCAACACTCTGACCATGATGAGTCATGGTTACTGACAACACTCTGGCTATGATGAGTCATGGTTACTGACCGACACTCTGGCCATGATGAGTCATGGTTACTGACCGACACTCTGGCCATGATGAGTCATGGTTACTGACAACACTCTGGCCACATGGTTACTGACAACACTCTGGCCATGATGAGTCATGGTTACTGACCGACACACTCTGGCCATGATGAGTCATGGTTACTGACAACACTTTGACCATGATGAGTCATGGACCATGATGAGTCATGGTTACTGACAACACTCTGGCCATGATGAGTCATGGTTACTGACCACTCTGACCATGATGAGTCACTCTGGCCATGATGAGTCATGGTTACTGACAACACTCTGACCATGATGAGTCATGGTTACTGACAACACTCTGATGAGTTATGGTTACCATGATGAGAGTCATGGTTACTGACCAACACTCTGGCCATGATGAGTCATGGTTACTGACCACTCTAACCATGACACTCTGACCATGATGAGTCATGGTTACTGACAACACTCTGACCATGATGAGTCATGGTTACTGACCGACACTCTGGCCATGATGAGTCATGGTTACTGACCGACACTCTGACCATGATGAATCATGGTTACTGACCGACACTCTGACCATGATGAGTCATGGTTACTGACAACACTCTGACCATGATGAGTCATGGTTACTGACCGACACTCTGACCATGATGAGTCATGGTTACTGACCGACACTCTGGCCATGATGAGTCATGGTTACTGACAACACTCTGACCATGATGAGTCATGGTTACTGACAACACTCTGACCATCATGAGTCATGGTTACTGACAACACTCTGGCCATGATGAGTCATGGTTACTGACAACACTCTGACCATGATGAGTCATGGTTGCTGACAACACTCTGGCCATGATGAGTCATGGTTACTGACAACACTCTGACCATGATGAGTCATGGTTACTGACCGACACTCTGGCCATGATGAGTCATGGTTACTGACAACACTCTGGCCATCATGAGTCATGGTTACTGACAACACTCTGACCATGATGAGTCATGGTTTCTGACAACACTCTGGCCATCATGAGTCATGGTTACTGACAACACTCTGACCATGATGAGTCATGGTTACTGACCGACACTCTGGCCATGATGAGTCATGGTTACTGACCGACACTCTGACCATGATGAGTCATGGTTACTGACCGACACTCTGGCCATGATGAGTCATGGTTACTGACCAACACTCTGACCATCATGAGTCATGGTTACTGACAACACTCTGGCCATGATGAGTCATGGTTACTGACAACACTCTGACCATGATGAGTCATGGTTACTGAAAACACTCTGGCCATGATGAGTCATGGTTACTGACCGACACTCTGACCATGATGAGTCATGGTTACTGACCGACACTCTGGCCATGATGAGTCATGGTTACTGACAACACTCTGACCATGATGAGTCATGGTTACTGACAACACTCTGGCCATGATGAGTCATGGTTACTGACAACACTCTGACCATGATGAGTCATGGTTACTGACCGACACTCTGGCCATGATGAGTCATGGTTACTGACCGACACTCTGACCATGATGAGTCATGGTTACTGACAACACTCTGACCATGATGAGTCATGGTTACTGACAACACTCTGACCATGATGAGTCATGGTTACTGACCGACACTCTTACCATGATGAGTCATGGTTACTGACAACACTCTGACCATGATGAGTCATGGTTACTGACCAACTTTCTGGCCATGATGAGTTATGGTCACTGACAACACTCTGACCATCATGAGTCATGGTTACTGACAACACTTTGACCATGATGAGTTATGGTTACTGACAACACTTTGACCATGATGAGTCATGGTTACTGACCAACACTCTGACCATCATGAGTCATGGTTACTGACAACACTCTGGTCGTGATGAGTCATGGTTACTGACAACACTCTAACCATGATGAGTCATGCTTACTGACATCACTCTGGCCATGATGAGTCATGGTTACTGACAACACTCTGACCATGATGAGTCATGGTTACTGACCGACACTCTGACCATGATGAGTCATGGTTACTGACAACACTCTGACCATGATGAGTCATGGTTACTGACCGACACTCTGACCATGATGAGTCATGGTTACTGACCGACACTCTGGCCATGATGAGTCATGGTTACTGACAACACTCTGACCATGATGAGTCATGGTTACTGACAACACTCTGGCCATGATGAGTCATGGTTACTGACAACACTCTGACCATGATGAGTCATGGTTACTGACAACACTCTGGCCATGATGAGTCATGGTTACTGACAACACTCTGACCATGATGAGTCATGGTTACTGACCGACACTCTGGCCATGATGAGTCATGGTTACTGACCGACACTCTGGCCATGATGAGTCATGGTTACTGACAACACTCTGGCCATGATGAGTCATGGTTACTGACAACACTCTGGCCATGATGAGTCATGGTTACTGACCGACACTCTGACCATGATGAGTCATGGTTACTGACAACACTCTGGCTATGATGAGTCATGGTTACTGACCACTCTGACACTCTGGCCATGATGAGTCATGGTTACTGACCAACACTCTGGCCATGATGAGTCATGGTTACTGACAACACTCTGGCTATGATGAGTCATGGTTACTGACAACACTCTGGCCATGATGAGTCATGGTTACTGACAACACTCTGGCCATGATGAGTCATGGTTACTGACAACACTCTGACCATGATGAGTCCATGGCCATGATGAGTCATGGTTACTGACCGACACTCTGACCATCATGGTTACTGACCGACACTCTGGCCATGATGAGTCATGGTTACTGACAACACTCTGACCATGATGAGTCATGGTTACTGACCGACACTCTGGCCATGATGAGTCATGGTTACTGACAACACTCTGACCATGATGAGTCATGGTTACTGACCACACTCTGGCCATGATGAGTCATGGTTACTGACAACACTCTGACCATGATGAGACATGGTTACTGACAACACTCTGATGATGAGTCATGGTTACTGACAACACTCTGACCATGATGAGTCATGGTTACTGACCGAACACTCTGACCATGATGAGTCATGGTTACCACACTCTGATGAGTCATGGTTACTGACCATGATGAGTCATGGTTACTGACTCTGGCCATGATGAGTCATGGTTACTGACAACACTCTGACCATGATGAGTCATGGTTACTGACAACACTCTGACCATGATGAGTCATGGTTACTGACAACACTCTGGCCATGATGAGTCATGGTTACTGACAACACTCTGACCATGATGAGTCATGGTTACTGACAACACTCTGGCTATGATGAGTCATGGTTACTGACAACACTCTGGCCATGATGAGTCATGGTTACTGACCGACACTCTGGCCATGATGAGTCATGGTTACTGACCGACACTCTGGCCATGATGAGTCATGGTTACTGACAACACTCTGACCATGATGAGTCATGGTTACTGACAACACTCGACACTCTGGTTTCCATGATGAGTCATGGTTACTGACAACACTCTGACCATGATGAGTCATGGTTACTGACAACACTTTGACCATCATGAGTCATGGTTTCTGACAACACTCTGATGATGAGTCATGGTTACTGACAACACTGATGAGTCATGGTTACTGACCATGATGAGTCATGGTTACTGACAACACTCTGACCATGATGAGTCATGGTTACTGACAACACTCTGGCCATGATGAGTCATGGTTACTGACAACACTCTGGCCATTACTGACCGACACTCTGGCCATGATGAGTCATCGTTACTGACAACATTCTGGCTATGATGAGTCATGGTTACTGACAACACTCTGACCATGATGAGTCATGGTTACTGACAACACTCTGACCATGATGAGTCATGATTACTGACAACTCTCTGGCCATGATGAGTCATGGTTACTGACAACTCTCTGGCCATGATGAGTCATGGTTACTGACCAACACTCTGACCATGATGAGTCATGGTTACTGACAACACTCTGACCATGATGAGTCATGGTTACTGACCAACACTCTGGCCATGATGAGTCATGGTTACTGGCAACACTCTGGCCATGATGAGTCATGGTTACTGACCAACACTCTGGCCATGATGAGTCATGGTTACTGACCAACACTCTGACCATGATGAGTCATGGTTACTGACAACACTCTGACCATGATGAGTCATGGTTACTGACCAACACTCTGGCCATGATGAGTCATGGTTACTGACAACACTCTGACCATCATGAGTCATGGTTACTGACAACACTCTGACCATGATAACATCTTTGATATTATTATAACTTATGTGACAAAGTTTATATGGTAATTTAGTGTGTAAATATTTATAAAATTGTTGTTGGTATAATGTAAGTTTAATACTTGAACACGTGAACTGTTGTCCTTCACAGGTCGCACTTGGACTTATCAGACTTGCACAGAGTTTGGATTCTATCAAAGCTCAGACTCGTTGAACCAGCCATTTGGAAATGAGTTTCCTATTGAGTTCTTCACTAAGCAATGTGAAGATATATTTGGGCCAGGGTAAGTGTGGCGTACCTGCTGTATCTAAGGGTTTGTGTAATATTTTTACTCCTTTTACCTCAGTAGTCAATAGTGGTCAACCAACGATAAATTAGACGTTCACTACAGTAATTAAGACTTCGGGCAGGGAACTTGAACAAATGTTGTGCATCTTGTAATATGCGTTCAGATCCTCTTACCTTCAAAACTGGCATCTGACCTATACAATTCTGCCATATATCGGCGACAGATTCAACTTTAACCCAAAGCGGTAGTACCACAATTACTCAATAGGCCTTTTTCAAGCTCTAACACACACACGTACAGCATTTAAAGGATAATCATCATAATTAAAGTATGATACGTTGTTTTTGTCCACCATGACATTATTGTATAATATTGATAGAGAATAAACAGCATAATTAAACATATTTGAGTGAATTTACAAGCTTAGTTATAGTTTTTTTTTCCTGGAAGCCTCCTCAGCAGCTTCTCCGATTTTATGAATTGCATCAGGACCAGAACTGGCCTGCTGCAATTGCCCCTTTAGACCAAGCCTAACGGGGGTCAGGACCAAAATCTTATTCTCCATTTGCGGTGAAGGGAGATGTGTGATGAGAGATCTGCCCAAAATCTAGAAATCCGACCAAATGCGTATGCCTAAACAAAATAAGCTAATGCTTGAAGAATGAAAGAAAATTTTAGATAAACATCTGCAATTTGCGGCACGGCAGGGGCAGACGAATATGGATTGCATATATATATATATATATATATATATATATATAATATATATATATATATATATTATATATATATATATATATATATATATATATATATATAATATATATATAGATATATATATTGTGGTATCAGTCTTTCTTGAAACCTATGTTGTTAAATATGACAGAAATGGTAAGATTAATAATTCTAACACGAATTTTCTCAATATTTATTTCTTATGTTTCTTTTCACTGTCGATGGTAGTTGAAAAATCAATTCTCCAAAATTCATTTATATTTCTTGTCTGACACGACGCCTGAACGCTTTTCGTAATTACTTATTACATTTTCTAAGACTTTAGTTCACACACACAACTGAAACCTGTAAACACGCTAACCCATCATACATATACTCGCATTTGGGTGAGGTGATATGGTACAACAGTTTTGGATGAGGTGAACAAATTTGTCACAAACACAAGACAAAACACAAATCTATGGGTATTAATTTGATATGATAACATAAGAATGGAAGTAACTGCAGAGGGCCTATTGGCCCATACTTCCTCTTGATGCTTCTATATCGGTTGGGAGTCTTGAAGTGGCTAGAATATAGTTGTGCATTAATTGGCTGTTGATTGCTGGTATTGACTTTTTGATGTGCAGTGCCTCGCAGATGTCGAGCCGCCTGCTATCACTGTATCTATCGATGATTTCTGTATTGTTTGTTAAGATTTCTCTGGTGATGGTCTGGTTGTAAAAGAAGATTATATGTTCCTTTATGGAGCCCTGTTGTTTAAGCATTGTTAATCGTCTGGAAAGAGACGTTGTTGTCTTGCCTATACACTGAGTTCTTTGGGGCTTACCGTCCCCAAGTGAGCATTTGAAGGCATAGACGACGTTGGTTTCCCTCAAGGCGTTCTGCTTTGTGTCTGGAGAGTTTTTAATGTGTAGGTTGGCTGTTTTTTTGGTTTTATAATAAATCGTCAATTGTATTTTCTGATTTGTGTCTATAGGAATAACGTTCCCATCAACAATATCTTTCCTCCATTTATGAGCTGTCGAAAAGAAGTTCCTGTAAAATAGTCTAATAGGAGGTACAGGTGTTGTGTTAGTTGACTCTTCAGAGGTCGCATGGCGTTTTACCTTCCTTTTTATGATGTCTTCAACAAAACTATTAGAGAAGCCGTTGTTGACTAGGACCTGCCTTACCCAACAGAGTTCTTCATCGACTTGCTTCCATCCTGAGCTGTGGCTGAGAGCAAGGTCGACATAAGCGTTGACAACACTTCTCTTGTACCTGTCTGGGCAGTCACTGTTGGCATTGAGGCACATTCCTATATTTGTTTCCTTAGTGTAGAGTGTAGTGTGGAAGCCTCCGCTCCTTTCTGTGATATTTACACACACACACACACACACACACACACACATATATATATATATATATATATATATATATATATATATATATATATATATATATATATATATATATATATATATATATATATGTCGTACCTAGTAGCCAGATATATATATATATATATATATATATATATATATATATATATATATATATATATATATATATATATATATATATATATATATATATAATATATATATATTTTACACGCTGTGCCACAGAGTGGGCCTCTCGTGCAGGCCAATCACCTCAACCACCATCCCCAAAAGCCCACAAGCAATCCAGCTGGGATGGCCCCATTGTAGACCAAGTTGCTGCAGAGTGCCTGGGAGGTGCAACAACACAACACGACATTGCTCGCCTCACAGCAGTAGCAGCACCACATGCAGGGGATTTCCTGTTAGCAACCCCAATGTCGGCAACTGGCACGCGTCTCAAACCACACGCCCTCCAAATTGCTGTGGCCCTCCGCCTTGCTGCCCCAATCCACACCAGATATAGGTGTATTTGCGGCGAGGTGGTGGCTGACAGGTACGGCCACCATGGCCTACTCTGCCAAAGCACAGGGGGATGGCACTCGAGGCACAGTGAAGTTAACGACATCATCAAGAGGAGCCTCACCACAGCTGGATGCCCAGCTAAAAGAGAGCCCCGTTGCCTAACGCCCCGTAACTCTGATGCTCTTATTGGTCGCCCGGATGGTATCACAGTGAACCCCTGGAAGAATGGCAAGCAGTTGGTATGGGACTACACGTGCGTATCAACCTTGGCTAACACCTATATTAACCTCAGTGTTGCACAACCAGGTGGCGCTGCCACCCACAGGGAAGCAGCCAAATCCCGTAAGTATAGAGAACTGGATCACCACTACAATTTTGTCCCCATTGCTTCTGAGACACTCGGCGCCTGGGCTAAAAGTGCTACCAGTTTTTTGTAGGAACTGGGTTCTAGGCTCATTGAAACAACAAGGGACCCAAGAGCTGCAAGCTTTCTTTTCCAGCGCCTCAGTGTGGCGATACAGAGAGGAAATGCGCACTGCATCCAGGGTTCCTGCCCGCCATCTGCGGAGTTGGAGGAACTCGACAACCTATGATAACCATCTTTGTAACCAATATGTAACTCCTTTTTTGTAACAAAGTTCAAATAAAGTAAATATATATGAGTACATACAAAAGAATTGAGGTGGTAGGAGAAGATAATATTAGTGTTCAGTGAGTAACCAAAAGGTCTGCTCTGAATAATTTTTATTTTCTTCTCCGAGGCTATGGGTCCCCACATTGGCACCAGAGGTGGTACCCTCACAAATAATAAATATATATATATATATATATATATATATATATATATATATATATTAATATATATGCGGAAAATCCACCGAGAAATATGAAATGAGGTGAACGTTTCGGCTTTGTTAAAGCCTTTGTCAACACCAGACTGACTAAGGAGAAGGGAAGGGGAGGATATATAGGCCGACACCTGACCCATATATCCTCCCCCTTCCCTTCTCCTTAGTCAGTCTGGTGTTGACAAAGGCTTTAACAAAGCCGAAACGTTCACCTCATTTCATATTTCTCTGTGGATTTTCCGCATAAAATGATCAGTGTTTTGTGATCGTCAATTGCATATATATATATATATATATATATATATATATATATATATATATATATATATAATATATATATATATATATATATATATATATATATATTTATATATATATATATATATATTTATATATATATATATATATATATATATATATATATATATATATATATATATATATATATATATATATATATATATATATATATATGTCGTACCTAGTAGCCAGAACGCACTTGTCAGCCTACTATGCAAGGCCCGATTTGCCTAATAAGCCATGTTTTCATGAATTAATTGTTTTTCGACTACCTAACCTACCTAACCTAATCTAACATAACTTTTTCGGCTACCTAACCCAACCTAACCTATAAAGATAGATTAGGTTAGGTTAGGTAGGGTTGGTTAGGTTCGGTGATATATCTACGTTAATTTTAACTCCAAT